TCCCTTAATGTTGTAAGAATTTTTCCACTATTTTTTTCTTTTTATGTTTTCTTTTTTTCTTAGGATTTTTCCACTATTAAAAACATCATGAAATTTTATTATCATAAAATGTGTGATTATTTTACTATTATGGATAATAGTGTATCTGCATAGGGTAACTGCATAAAGATTTTTTTCCTAAGATTCAAATTACTTCTTGAGCATATATTTCTATAAATGGAATTACTTGTTACACTGTAAACATCTTTAAATTGTATTCCAAAGAGATGATTCCAGTTCACACTGCTACCAGTAGACACCTGACCATTTATAGTGCCATAAAGTAAGCTTATAGTGGGAGTGTCAGGGGGGAAGATAATGTTTACTTTTATAATGCACATTTTACTCAAGCTATAGATGTGACTTCCTTTTGATTTAGGATGGCCGCTTAGCTTTAGTTCAAAGTGCTAATCCTTAAACGTGGATAGGGATTTTTACCCTATCCAGGCCTTTTATCTATAAAAGATGGGGTAAAAACTGTCAGATTGCTGTGAAATTAATGAATTGACATAAGAAAATGACTTCTATAACACCTGATTTCCATATGTGCTTGTAGTAGTAAAATAGTTAAGAGCATGGGCTTTATATTCAAGCTGCCTGGTTTCCAATTCTGCTCAGCCACCTAGGAGCTGTAGGGCCTTAAGCAAATTACTTAACCACCCTGTCCTTATGTTTCCTTATCAGCAAAACAGGGATAACAGTTACTACCTCACAAGGAAGTGAAAATTAAGTCAATTTATTGTAACAACTATGCATAGTGCCAGGTGGATACTTGAAACATTGGGGGATCACTTTGTAAACTATTTGATTATCTATATATTTTGCTATACACCTGAAATTGATACAAAATAATATTGAATGCAAACTATAATGGAAAAATAAAAAAAATTTTAAAGGAAAAAAACATAAAAATGTAAATATAGAGTAGGAAAAAAAGGCAATTTTTAAAATATATTTTTTTATTGATTTCAGAGAGGAAGGGAGGAGAGAGAGAGATAAAAACATCAGTGATGAGAGAGAATCATCGATTGGCTGCCTCCTGCACGTCCCCACCAGAGATTGAGCCTGAAACACAAGCATGTGCCCTGACCAAGAATGGAACTTGACCTCCTGGTTCATATGTCAACTCTCACCACTGAGCCACACCAGCTGGGTGAAAGAAAGGCAATTTATGTAAGGCATTTGGAATAGTGCCTGGCACATAGGGCATTCAATAGATATTAACTATTAACATCAACAAAGGTTATTATCACTATTACTTGGGTATAGTGGAAAAAATAGGGGCTTTGGATTCAAACTCAAGTTCATATTCATTTTCTACTACTCACTAGCTCTGTTGCATAAATTTCCGGGACCTCAGTCTCATCTGCAAAAATGCATGTAGGTGATACCTTCCTTCAGAGGATTGTTAGGATTAAGTGGGATGTTATGTGTTAAGTGACTGGTAAACAATAGGTGTTTAATATCTCTTACTTCCTTTCCCATTACTAAATGTTTTATACTATACAATTTCTATATATTAAATATGTATAAGAAATTGCTTTCCTCACAATATATGAATCACCATTGATTAGATTAGCCTTTGGCTAAAAAAATTAAAGAGACCCTGATAATCTTGCTTTGTTCTATGAAATATGCCTGTTATGATAATGTCTGTAGATAATTTCATTCATTTTTTTTAAAATTAAATCTTTATTGTTCAGATTATTACATTGTTTCCTCTTTTTTCCCACCATAACTCCCCTCCACCCAGTTCCCACTCCACCCTCAGCCCTCACTCCCCACCCACTGTCCTCATCCATAGGTGCACGATTATTGTCCAATCTCTTCCCGCACCCCCCACACCCCTTCCCCCCCCACCCCAAGAATAGTCAGTCCATTCCCTTTCTATGTCGCTGATTCTATTGCAGTCACCAGTTCATACTGTTCATCAGATTATTTATTCACTTGATTTTTAGATTCACTTGTTGATAGATGTGTATTTGTTGTTCATAGTTTGTATCTTTACCTTTTTCTTCTTCCTCCTCTTCTTAAAGGATACCTTTCAGCATTTCATATAATACTGGTTTGGTGGTGATGAACTCCTTTAGCTTTTTCTTATCTGTGAAGCTCTTTATCTGACCTTCACTTCTGAATGATAGCTTTGCTGGATAAAGTAATCTTGGTTGTAGGTTCTTGGCATTCATCACTTTGAATATTTCTTGCCACTCCCATCTGGCCTGCAAAGTTTCTGTTGAGAAATCAGCTGACAGTCGTATGGGTACTCCCTTGTAGGTAACTGACTTTCTTTCTCTTGCTGCTTTTAGGATACTCTCTTTGTCTTTTGCTCTTGGCATTTTAATTATGATGTGTCTTGGTGTGGTCCTCTTTGGATTCCTTTTGTTTGGGGTTCTATGTGCTTCCTGGACTTGGAAGTCTATTTCTTTCACCAGGTAGGGGAAGTTTTCTGTCATTATTTCTTCAAATAGGTTTTCAATATCTTGCTCTCTCTCTTCTTCTGGCACCCCTATAATTCTGATGTTGGTACGCTTGAAGCTGTCCCAGAGGCTCCTTACACTATCTTCATATTTTTGGATTCTTTTTTCATTTTGCTTTTCCGGTTGGGTGTTTTTTGCTTCTTCATATTTCAAATCTTTGACTTGATTCTTGCACTCCTCTGGTCTGCTGTTGGGAGTCTGTATAATATTCTTTATTTCAGTCAGTGTATGCTTAATTTCAAGTTGGTCCTTTATCACAACATCGAGAGTCTCACTAGATTTCTTGAGGATTTCACTACATTTATCGGCGGTCTCACCAGTCTTTTCGAGGGCCTTACTCAATTTATCGGCGGCTTCTAAACAGTTCTTTAAAGACCTTAAAAGTGTGGTTTTGAACTCTATATCCAGCATTTTGCTTTCCTCCATTTCTGTCATTTGTGTCCTGTTTCTTTGTCTCGGCATTTTTTATGCTTCGCTGTGTCGATAGAGTGCCTTTCTGTGCTAAGTGTTCCAATTACCTGAGGTAGACACTCTTGGTGCACCCCCTTGTGGGCTTTGTGCACAGTCTTGTTATAGTTACGCCTTGATTGTTGTAGTTATCACTGGGAGGAATTGACCTCCAGGCCAGTTGGCTGTGAGAATCAGCTGTGTCTGCAGTGGGAGAACTTCTGTGCTGGAGACACCCCTCTGGGGCAAGACTTGCTTCAATGGGGCTTTGGTGCTCACTGAGTCTGACCCCTGAGTATGTCTTTTATGGTTCCACAGAGCTGCAAACTGGATGGTCTCACTCTGACCTCTGGGCTTCCTGGCTCCTGGATCTCTAGGGAGGTGCTAATCTAGCCTTTGCCTGAGGCTATTCAGCAAAAGCCTCCCTGCAGGGCTTGGGCGGGGCGGGTCCCAAGGGATCAACAGGGTGGGGCTAGCAGTTATGGCTCCTCTGAGTCCTGCCCTCAGAGGTTTGCTTCTCAATGTAATCGCTGCAAGCCCCTCAGAGAGAAAGCTGCCCTTGAGTTCCAACCGATGCCAGACAGTCCCGCTTCTCCCGTATGAGTCTGGGTCCCTAGAGACTCGCCGGGAACTGGAGCTCAGAGCCTGAGATTCCCTCCTGATTGAAAATGACAACCTCGCCCTCAGCTGCCAGCCCGCTCCACATGCTACCTCCGCACCTTAGTATTTCACCTCCGCACTGCGCCTCCTCTGAGTCTCAGTATGGTTTTCTCTTTCCTTCTAGTTGTAGGATTTCCACTCAGCCAGCCTTCCTGTGGTTCTGGATGATGTCCGTTCCATCTTTTAGTTGTATTTTTGAAGTGGTTGTTCGAGACAGCAAACTCCGGTGTTTACCTATGCCGCCATCTTGGTTCTCTCAGCAGCACAAAAATCTAATTTCATTCATTGTGTGAACTTCTTTTCAAGTTCAGAAACAAATCCAACATAACTATTCATTCTAATTTTACATATATTAAAAATGTTTAGTAATGCTAAAACCACTGAAATCTTTAAGAAAATGTAACAATACTTTAATGCCTTATGATTTTAATGGAATAGTAATATTTCTAACCTTGGGGAATAACTGGATTCATTTTATGGTTTGTTGAATAATTCACAGAATTGTCAAAAAAAAAACAACACACTGGTTTCCAAGAAGCTGAAAGTTATTGGAAATTAAATTATAAACATCCTAGTTACTAATATTCTCATCACAGACTTGAAATGAGATAGTGACTTCAACTCATAGAGGTGGACCAAAGGCAAAATAGTTTACCAAATTTATGAAACTCTGTGACCAGACTTAGGTCACAGTTGCCTATTGATTGATTTTAGAGGGAGAGAGAAACATGTATTTGTTGTTCCACTTATTTATGCATTGATTGGGCAATTTTTTAAATTGATTTTGAGGGAGAGAGAAAGGGAGAGGGAGAGAAACACCGATGTGAGAGTGAAACAAGGATTGGCTTCCTCCTGCATACCACTGGAGATCAAGCCTGCAACCCGGGTAGGTGCCCTGACCTGGAATCAAACTGGTAACCTTTCAGTGCATGGGACAACACCCAACCAACTGAACCACACCAGCCAGGGCTTGTTTGTTGATTCTCATATGTGCCCTGACCAGGGATCTTACCCATAACTTTAATGTATTAGGATGATGCTCTAACCATCAGAGCTACCCAACCAGGGACAATTGGCTATAAGTATTCTGTCATCCTTCTAAAAGAAGGACATAAGTTAATAAGTATGTGTGTATTGTCTGTCTTTGTTTTTAGGGTCCACCAAAATATACAAAATCTATTCTTAAAAAGGGGGATAAAACCAACTTCCCCAAAAAGGGAGATGTTGTTCACTGCTGGTATACAGGAACACTACAGGATGGAACTGTTTTTGATACCAATATTCAAACGAGTAAGTCTAAATGTAATCTTATCTTTTTGGCTTTAAGGCATTATAAAATATTTGTAGATGAGCTGTTAGCAGTATCTTTTTGTTGGCTGTCACTTTTTTCCAGAAGTCTTTTGCACCTGTGATGTACTTGGAAGAGGTCTCTTCAGTTCACTGCTTATTGACTGGGTAAATAAAGACCTCTTGGTCATTGAAAAGCAAAAACAAAGAAGCAGCTTAGACTAAACTTGGTTAATGTCCCAAAGTTAGACTTTAGTATCTATACTAATAAAAGGGTAATATGCTAATTAGATTGGACATCTTCTGGATGTCCTTCTAGACCAGGGGTGGGCAAACTTTTTGACTCGAGGGCCACAATGGGTTCTTAAACTGGACGGGAGGGCCGGAACAAAAGCATGGATGGAGTGTTTGTGTGAACTAATATAAATTCAAAGTAAACATCATTACATAAAAGGGTACAGTCTTTTTTTTTTTTTTTTTAGTTTTATTCATTTCAAACGGGCCGGATCCGGCCCACGGGCCGTAGTTTGCCCACGGCTGTTCTAGACAAAGCCATGGTTGCAGGGGCAGAGGCAGAGGCAGTTAGGGACGATCAGGCCGGCAGGGGGGAGCAGTTAGTGGGACGATCAGGCCAGCAGACAGGTGAGTGGTTAGGAGCCAGCGGTCCCAGATTGCAAGAGGGATGTCCGACTGCAGGTTTAGGCCCAATCTCTGTGGGATCGGGCCTAAACCAGCAGTCAGACATCTCCCAAGGAGTCCTGGATTGGAGAGGATGCAGGCTGGGCTGAGGGACACACACACACACCGTGTACGAATTTCATGCACCGGGCCTCTAGTCTATCTACACTAATAAAAAAGAAACATGCAAATTGGTGTCACTCTGCTACGCCCACCAGCCAATCAGAGTGCTATGCAAATTAACCCAACAAAGGTGGTGGTTAATTTGCATACGCAGGCCCCGAGCGAAGACTGAAGGCTCCAGCCAGAGTGAAGACTGAAGAGGCTTGGCTTCTCCGCTGTAGCGGAGAAGCCAAGCCTCACTGCGGCCGGACCAAAGGCCTGGGTCCTGTGTGCCAGAGGAAAACTGGTGCCGGCAGTCAGGGGAAGGCAGGCCTATTGCACGAAATTCGTGCAACGGGCTTCTAGTATATATATAAAAGCCTAATATGTAAAGTGTCCCCTCGGGAGTTTGACTGACCAGGAGTTCGATCACTCAGTATGATGTGCGCTGACCACCAGGGGGCGGCGCGGAACGAAGGGAGACCCCAGCCAGCAGCCAGGGAAGGGAGACCCTGGCTGGCAGCTGGAAGGCCTCAATCGGCCCTAATCACCGGCCAGGCCTAGGGACCCTACCCATGCACAAATTTCATACACCGGGCCTCTAGTGTTAATGTAAAAAGCAGGATACCTTGCATTAGTGGTGTAAATATAGGTCCTTTCCCCTCCACTGTTTCAACCATAATCGTTTGGTATTTTTTTAATTATATATTTTTTATTGATTTCACAGAGAAAGGGAGAGGGAGAGATAGAAGCATCAATGATGAGAGAATCATTGATTGGCTACGTCCTGCACGATCCCTTCCTAGGTATCAAATCCACAACCCAGGCATGTGTATTCCTGGTTCATAGGTTGACACCCAACCACTGAGCAACACCAGTCAGGCCATAATTTTTATATATCAAAAATTTTCTTTTAAAGTATTTTTTAAAATATGTTTTTATTGATTTCAGAGAGGAAAAAAGGAGAGATAGAAACATCAATGATGAGAGAGAATCATTGATTGGCTGCCTCCTGCACACCCCACACTCGGGATCGAGCCTGCAACCCGGGCATATGCCCTTGGCTGGAATCGAACTCGGGACCCTTCAGTCTGAAGGCCAAACTCTACCCAATTCAGCTAGGGCAAGAATTTTCTTGGTAAATTACCTGGCTTTCTGCATTTTTTTCAAATGCACAGTATTATAAGTTCTGAAATCAAGTTACAGACTTAACCCTTTTCGGTCCAACGTGGAGGCTGACTCGACAGACCAGGTGCTAGGAGCAGGTCCAACATCGAGGCTGAGACACCGCAAACCGGTTCAACATTCAATCCCATCAATTAATTTGGACCAGACTGTTTGAATTCCAAAAATAAAATTGGACCGCAAAGGGTTAAATCCCTGTTTTCCCATTGGAACTTAATTTCATCATTAATTATAAGGAAAATTTGTTTTACAGGTTCAAAGAAGAAGAAAAATGCCAAGCCTTTAAGTTTTAAGGTTGGAATAGGCAAAGTTATCAGAGGAGTAAGTAAAAAATGGCAGTGTGTCAAGAGATTCTGGCACATGCTACTTGTGGCATGGTACTATAAAGAATTAGGATTGGGGATATCATGAAAACAAGATTTGGAGTATGGCAAATTTGTGCTGTCATCACTAACTGTTCTGGCACAAATTAGTAAGGTCTCTAGGTCTCAGTTTCCTCATCTATAAAATAAGGACTGTACAGCCTATTAGGTCACTAAAAGATTAAATGGACATACTTTAAATCATGACTCCAATATTCCAGCCTACCCCTTTTATCTTTTCCTTCAAAAATTAATTTTTAGTGTGTTTAGCTTTTTAAATTTCTTTTAGATTCTTGTAAGATGTTGCATGGCTGTTGTACCACTTATAACATGATCAATAAAGGTAAAATATCTGTTCCACTGAAGTACTAATAAAAGCAAGAGTTTGTTCTATAGCCCTCACCTCTCACAACTTAGGCTCAAACACCAGAAAATCTTTCAAACATAAGTATACCTTTACCCAACTTTCCCTGTGAGATAACAAGAAAACTGCGAAAAGGGGAAGTTAGCTGTACCTGACCACTGCAGTGTACAAGAGATATAAGAGTAGTACTGATTATCAGCTTCATTGAATCGGGTTGTCATGCTAGGGCCCACTTATTTTGTCTTTACTCAGGACACCAAACATTAATAACTGAAACACATTTAAATGAAGTTATCAGAACCTTCAGTGTATCTTTTTTAAGTTTTAAAATATGGTTCAATCATATCCAGAGCCCAAAATATAAAATAATTTGGAACTATAGGCTTAGTTGGAAATGACCTTAATGCTACCTGATTATACTAAGTTGAGAGCAATTGTCAGGTTGAGCTATTTTTCTATTTTTATATCTAATTTGCTTACTGGTAAATTTCTTCTAGTTTATTTTCTTAATTTTCAGTATTTGGCAAATCTGTCTCTGTCCCTTGAACTTTATGAACAGTTACATTTCAACAGAGTATATATTAAGTCATATATTCTATATCCTTTCATTGTATTTATTTAATTATTTTTGGTAACTGGCTTTAAGATCCAAATTTGGACAAAATGTAGCAGCAACCCAGAAATCTCTCACTTCTTTAATTTCACCTTCTACAAAATATATTAATGCTCTAGCATGTACTTTGTTTTTAACCATCATGACTCCACTATTAACAATTTGGTAATCTTAAGATAGTTTTAGAGATAGTACTTGTTAGTTTATCCTTATAAAAATAATTTCAGAAATTTGTCCAAGGATATAATAGTGTAGCAAAGAAATTATAGTGTTAATAAACTAGTTTCCATGTTTCCACATTACAGTTTACAAAAGTGCTTTTACATTTTATCATTTAAGGCATTTGAGTATTATATTAAAAAAATGGTTTAATATATCCTTTTTTTCATTGAGGAAATAAAGGACAATGATTTGAGGACTCTCCCAAGGACATTACCATTTATGACATAATGAAATCCAGTAATAAAATGTTTTTCTGTATATAACCTTACCTGTCTTCTGATTTCACGTGTATTTTTGAGAATCATTAGTTTGATTCTATATTCTTGCCTTTAGTGGGATGAAGCGCTCTTGACTATGAGTAAAGGAGAAAAAGCTCGACTAGAAATTGAACCAGAATGGGCTTATGGAAAGAAAGGACAGCCTGATGCCAAGTATCCTTTTTTCCTTTGTAATTAAAGGAAAAACACTAAAAAGGATCACCTGAAGGTATGAAAGATGCTATCTAGGTTAACCTCCAGATCAGGAATCCTGTTCAGACCAGAATTCCTGATTTAGATGCTTTTGTGTCAACACCTCCAATATAGACAATACTGGAGGCTCAGTGCACAAATTCGTACACAGGTGGGGTCCCTCTGGATGGCCTGCAGGGATAGGGCTGAAACCCACAGTCCAACGCTGCCTGCAGCTCCTACCTGACTCTCCAGCTCATCCTGGATCAGTCCCTATCGGGAGAGGCTCATGTTGCAGTAGCAGCGCTCACCAGCCATGAGCCCTGCATCTGGTGCCCTCCCAAGGGAAATGGCCTGCGGGCCCTCCCAAGGGAAATGGCCTGCGGGATTGGGCTGAAACCAGCTCTCCGACATCCACTAAGGGGTCCCAGATTGCGAGAGGGCAGATCGGGCTGGGGAGGGACCGAAGGAGGGCTCCAGGGCATGTCCAGCCCATCTCGCTCAGTCCCGTTCGGCTGGACCCAGCAGCAAGCTAACCTACTGGTCGGAGCATCTGCTCCCTGGTGGTCAGTGCATGTCATAGCGAGCAGTTGAGCAGCCATAGCATATTAGCATATTACGCTTTGATTGGTTGTTCAGTTCTGCTGTTTGTTCTATTTGCATATTACCCTTTTATTATATAGGAGGATTGTGTATTGGTACAAAGTATTCAAACTTGAGCTGGAATCTCCTTTCTTCCTCTTACTCATGCTCTTAATTTTTAAGATTTAAACTGTGAGATTTAAGTTTTCCTCTATGACAGGCAATTGTTTGAAGGGTTTACTTTAAGGAGTTAAGATGCCCAATACAAACAACTGTAGCATATTATAGAATGCAGATATGTCTCATGGTATTTTTGCTACAGTGTAATTTCAGGCAATTATAAAAATGGAACACATGTTGGGGATTACCAGTTGTGAAATGAAGGAGAACATGGGTTCAACATGCTGTAAGCTTTTGTGATCAATACTAATGACAGTATACTTTTTATCTGATAAAAAGAAAAAAAGAGCCATGACTCCAGACCATTACACCAGAACTAAATGATTACTAACAGCTAAGTAGGAAGTTAGTTTTTTTGTTGTTTGTAAGTTTGGAAAAAAAGTTTTTGGAAGTCCTCTCTAGTCTTATCAATTAAAATTATTTGGGAATAGTCTCTTCTAAGTCTATTAAAATGAGTTGGCTAGCTGCAGCTCCCTCTCTGTGAAGCATGTTAAGATCAATCAGATAAAAGTCACACTCTTCTCTAAACTCAGCATTTTAAAACAGCAAATATCAGGTATTACCTCATATTAACTTTGATTTAATATATACCCAGCTAGATTGAAAAAACATTTTTTTTTTGAATACTGAATAACAAGTTTTCATTTAGTGGTTGCTAAATTGGGAGTACTAGTTAGGCATCCAGATAAGGAAGATCCCAGCCAAGCTAATGCCTAGTCAGCCTATAATTTCTATTTACAAAGATATCTCTATTAGGAACCACTATGCTTGGAATGTATTAGCCTATGAGTCAGCTGCAAAGCCCTTTTCTTTGTAGTTAATTGCCAATATCCAGTCTACATAATTCTAATTTTAGACTAAGATTCTTGGGAATGAGAAGCAATTTTATCATATTTACCTTAACTTCTTGAACAGAATCCCACCAAATGCAAAACTCATTTTTGAAGTGGAGTTAGTGGATATTGATTGAAACAGCAATGCTTCTGATCTAAAGACATCAGCCATAGCCTTGAAGAAAGTTTCGTAACTAATTACAGCTAGTTACTATTGTAATGGAAGTGAACTGGAAAATTCAGTTATGTTAGAACTTGTTTACTTTCTCCCAAAAATTAAGAAATGTAATCTGTTATAAATCCCTGCAGTTTAAAATATTTTACTACAGCTGTGTAAAGTACTGGTTAAGGAGAACTTTTCCTTTTACCTCATGTTGTAAACTAAAAGGCTCAATAAAAATGTACCCAATGTCTTGATTTGTTTGGTGTTAATGTTCTGATTAGGTTAACCAGGACTAAGGCTTCATCAAACCAGGGAGCAGCAGTCAAATTGTTTGGACATCTTTGCCAGACATTCATTTAAAATCTTTAAATATTTCTGTATAGTGAGAAGATAAAAGCACAGAGATTGAGAGGAATGAAAAAGATAAAAGGTCTAAGAAATTCTAACAAGAAGATTAACAGCTGAATATAACAGCTTTATATAAATATAAAGTTAATGACAGGTGATCCCCTAAATAAATTCATAACAATTGGTGGATGAGTCTTCAGTTTTATTACAAAAATGTAGATGATCAGTTTGATCAAAATGAAAGCTTGTTCACAAATTTACATGAATATTGTAAATACAAAGTCTTCTGAAACAACATAAATTTTGATACAATTTTCATTTTTTAAAGGGATGCAAACATTCGATTTTCTGATTTGTAATCTCTATGTCATGACATACTATTTTAATAGTGTGTATCTTTCCTGCAGTTAAATCAAAATTCACAGGGATAATTGAAACACGCAGACAAAGCCTGGTCAGTAAAGGTTAAAAATCCGTTTTTTGGTGGGTTTTTTTTTCTCTTTTTACAGAGAGGTAAATCCTTAATAACCAGCCCTTTATGTATTTTCAGACTCTTGTACTACACTGACATGATTTGCAGTCAGTTTTTTTCCTACCCTTAAGGCTACAAAACTGTTGCAAATGCATTGCAAAAGAATTCTAGACCACTTAATGCAAAAATCAAAAAATAGTTCTCCAATAAAAAGTAAACTTTATAAATGGTAGGAAATAGTATCTGTGGTAAGCTACTAAGTGACATTTTTCCTAATACTAAAATCATATGTTACACAGAAACAGGGAAGACAAGTTGTCAAATATGACAAGCCAATGTTTACATCTCTTGTTGAAAAAAAATAACGTTATACTTTCCACACACTCCATCTGATATTTATATTTTCCCATCAAGTTGGAGGGGGAGGATAATACTGTCCATAATTCCAAGGATTCTGGTAATTGTACTGAAAGGAAAAAGCAAACATGTTAGCATACCAGAACTATGGCTGAGCTCATACAAAATAATTAAAGCAGATATGTGTAAGAAAACAGGCATGTATTCACTTGTAGAAATTCCAAGACTAAACCACAAAGATAATGTATTATACCATCTGAAACAGAAGACCTGTTTTTTCTAAAATAAAAAAGACTGCCCTAATTTATGCTTTTCTAATAACATAAATGAACAAAAAATTCATTTATAATTATGTAAACTCACTTGATACCAGGCACTATAATTATATGCAGCTTGATTTGCTTGTAAATCACCATCAATCAACTGCGCAGAGGATGAAGTTGTATCTTCTGTGTGTGCTTTTTTTTCCTCTGGTTCTTCTGATCTATATAAAAGGTCAAAGTGGAACTTTAACAGCTCTTACAATAAGTACTTTAACAAACAGATAAATGTCACCTGTGTACATTTATTTTACTGATGTTCTCAACCACTCAAGAGTTGTATACAATTTTTTCAAATCATGAAAATAAAGTATCTATTACCACAACATGAAACAATTTTAAAGTATATATTTATTGATTTCAGAGAGGAAGGGAGAGGAAGAGACAGAAACATCAATGACGAGAGAGAATCAATGATCTCTTGCCTCCTACATGCCCCACACTGGGTAATGAGCCCACCAGCTGGGCATGTGCCCTGACTGGGAATTTAACCATGACCTCCTGGTTCATAGGTCAACGTTCAACCACTGAGCCACGCTGGCCTAGCAAAGGTAACATTTAAAAATATTTGTCTTCTCTGTTCTTTTCTCTCTCTAGAAAACATCCTCAGGTGAGGATAAATTATATTTTTCTTTAAAGGCATTTCCACAATGAAAAATGTCATATTTTAAACATCCTTTCCTGATTCAACAAATATGTACATACCCATTTTCTGCTTTCCTTTTCAAAGAATCCTGTTCTTTTAGGAGTGTTTGATGCTCATCATAAGCACTCAGAAGCCTGAGAAGTAATAAAAAAAATCCACTGAAATATATAAAACCCAAAATGTTAATTTTAAAAATTTATTTCTACTTAGGAAAACAAAATATATTGCAATAGACATCCTTTTATTTATATATTTTTTTAAATGAGCCAGCAGCCAAATCTGTCCTCAGCTACCTTTTTTTATCTATTTCCTTTGGGACACCATTGCCCTGTACTTTTCTTCTCACTCTATGTGGTTCAAAGATATAGGCCTGGCTAGTAACATTATACCCCTGGGCCAATTAATGGTTTAGAGGTGAGAATACGACCCAAAGCAGGAGTCCCAGAATTTTTTATGAGCTACTGGAAGAGTGTTTTCTGTACTACAGCTGTCTAAAGCTGATGGGATGCTGGCCAAGTTTATCATTTATAATACATGGGGAGAACCTGCCTTCGAATCTACAACACAACTAAGACAAGGATCTTGATGTTTTTGTCCAGTGCAACAAGAGACGTGACAATTCTACAATTTGTATACTTTTGAATCTAATTTAACAATGAGATTGAAGACACCTGCATTTAGGATAAAATGCTTTTAAAATTTGGCCATGTGATAAAATTGAATTAGAATATAAAACTATAGTATAATTGGTTACCATTGATTAAAAATATAAGTTTTAACAAAATTCTGATGTGACATATATAAAATTGTTAATACCAGTAATCTCAGGTCAAATGTTTACTCATTTTCAAGCACTTTAAATGGACTAATTTCCTTAAGGCCTTTAACAACCTGTGGGTTAGGTGATACAGAGAATTTCCATATGAAAAAGTTTGAAAATAAGAATACACAAATCAGTAAGTGACAGAGCTAGGATTTAAGCCTGTATTTGTCAGACTTCAACATTAATTCTTACCAATTCATTATACTGCTACCTAAATTTTTAAGTGCCTCATTTACTTTTCACATAACTTTCTAAAAATTTCAACAACACACTACCCAATACTAAAGGTCCTCAACTGTATTTGTAAGGACCTAATTGGCATCTTTGTATTGAGCTTCCGATTTGTCTGCATATTATTACCAAATTAACATGTCATTTAATCTCAAAACCACTAATAGTTTCCTACTGTCAATTGTGTACTCCATGTTCTCTGAACTCAAACTAGCTTTCAAAGCACAGAATGAACAAACATCACTTCTACTTCAGCAGATGTTATTTGTAGATGAATTTTAACTTGCTTTTACATTTTATCCTCTTCTTAGTTTATCAGTATCCAGTAGTTAATTAAATGAAGCCCTACCTCCCCTATGAAGGATGATAAATCCATTCTGATCCGGAGCCTTAAAACTTGTATGTCACCTCATACACATGTATATCCTCTGATCACCATCCCATCCAACTAGACTAAAAGCTAGAATTACATATTCCATTTCTCTTAATTTCTTCAGTGCAAAACAAACAGAAGACATTAAATATACAGGACATGAGGTGCTTAAGAGCAGACTGTGAAGTAGGTTCTAAATCCAGCTGGCACAATATTAATAACTAATCCCAGATGCACAATGTAATAGCTAAGTGACCTTGGAAAAAATCCCTAATCTTTCTTTAAACCCCTTTTCACCCATTGAAAGAGTAACAGTACCGATACCCCTCATCAGACTGCTATGTATTTTACATTAGATAATTCTTATAAAACAGTTAATTGAAGCCAAGCACATATATACCATTGTGTTAAAATGTAACTCACGTTAAATGATTTTTAGTTTAAAATTTTACTAAGCCATCAAGAATGTATACACACACATGTAAGTCCACAGACACAAAACTAAGTCTTATTTTATCAACAGCTGTTTCAATGGAAATAACTCTAAATTAGAATAATTAGAGAAGGCACATGTCTAACAGGAACTGGGATATTTCCTTACTAGAATCATGTAAGAATGGAATCACAGCAAATAAATTTCTCTAATAAATTTCTACTCTTCTATTTTGCAAGTTTAAATCTTAAACTTGTCCTTTTCCCAAATCCCCTAGAGTGAATCCTTGTACCATCCTCAACTTTCAGCCTTTTACAATGCACAAAGATGAGGCCATTAGGTATCATCTGCAGAACCATGTCCATCCTCTTTTCCAATCTGAAATACAATGGCATTCTTCCAGATTAATCCATCCACCTTTAGTGGTCTATATACCAAATGTTTCTGGGTTTCAAGGTTCAATCCTTAATCCATTTCCTTTTTCATGGGATTGCTGCTTCCTGCCTTCCCTCATCCACTCATTGTTTAAAATTACCATGCTAAAATTTTAAGAATAGTTTGGAAGGAAATAGAAACCGTATGTCCTACTATTAAGCACATACATACATTTGCAAAACTGAATTACCTCAGATATACCTGATGAAAAAGTAACCTAGGCGAACATTTTAAATTTAACAATATATTAATTTGTACTAATCATCAAATTCCCAACCAAAACTATCAATGCTCATTTACTATTCAAACAGATAATATATAATTAAGATCTTACTTATTAACATCTGAACCAAAATCTTCAAGAAATTCCACTTTTCTCTGAGAAAATGTAATTCTCATTTTAACAGGTAATGAACCATGTATAGCTTTGTCAAAACAATTTAGGATATTTTCTTCATTTTGTTTGAGGTCACCACTATATTCCATTTCAAGTAAATTGAGGTATAACTTTGTGTTCTCCTGTGTAAAAAGTAGTATCGTTAATAATATTTCTAAGATATTTTTATTAGACCACAGATATTTAAAATGCCCTAATTTTGATGTCTCAATTTAAAAAATTCAATATTGAAAATTGTGTATTAAAATGTAACTTGTGTTAAATGTTTTCAGCATTCACTGAATAAGAAAAAACCAATTAGCACATTGATAGCACATCATCCTAGTTATTTCCCAAACAATATGTAAATTGTTCAATGCCAATAATTTAAAGCCCTATATTCTATCTTGAGTTTAATGTGGCTTGACTTCCCATAACAAATATAAACTAAAACATGAAAAAAATGATCTCTGTACTTCTCAATAAATTAAATCTTTACAACTGTAGATAATTATCTTAAACAGCTGGAAACAAACAGTTATAAACCTGTCTTACACAGACCTGGGATCAGCTAAAAATGTAAAAAGTGAGCTATTTCCCATACACTGCCTATCAACTGATACATAAAAAGGAGAAGAATCCTTTGGAAAAGGAGAATAATCTCACTGCTACAATTCCTGTAGGGTAGCTAACTGCCATGCTTTTGTTCTCCCAAGATCCTCTACTCTACTTAATAATCAGTAAATCTGCTATACAATTTCTAAATGTGGAGAAAATAGAATGTAACAATGTCTGCAACCTTTTAATTGATAATTTAAATATTTTTTTTAAAGAATGGCAACATCAGTTTAGAGGGACTGTTGTCTTCATTCAGTAATTAAATATATTACATACAGACCAAATCTTTCATCATAGTTGCCAAAATGAAAATTAAGAAACAGAAAAAATGACCACTGGTTTTTCATGGAAGATATTCCAAAAACACAAATACCTACTTTGTCTCTTTCAATTGCTTCCAAAAGCACCTTTTTTGATTTTGCAAAGTTTTTTTGTATTTTGAAAAGATGCCGGGCTAGTTTAATAGCATAAAACGATGATTCACTATTCGATTTGGCATTCTTAATAGCATCTTGAAGCAAATGTTCAGCTTCTTCCATATTTCCATGTCGTCGTTCTAAACTTACTCTTCTCAAACGAACCATTGCCAATCCTAGAACACATTCTTCAAATGTTCTCAAGATATTCCTGGCTTCATTAATATTACCTAGAAATAGTAATTAAATGTTTATGCTTTTGTTTAAACTTTTGAAATATCCTTTAAGCCAGGTATTGCCAAGTAACAGCCCATAGGCTAAATCCAGCCTTCTGCCTGTTTTCTTAATGTTTCTTTTTTTAATTGAAAAAAGTTTTGTTTTTTTTCTTTTGAGAGAGAGAAAGGGAGAGATAGAAACATCAATGATGACAGAATCATTGTTGGCTGCCTCCTGCACACCACCTACTGGGAATGGAGCCTGAAACCGGGGCATGTGCCCTGACCGGGAATTGAACTGTGACCTCCTGATTCACAGGTTGATGCTCAATCACTGAACCACACCGGCCGGGCTGCCTGTTTTTAATTTTTAAAAACTGGAACAAACTCTTTTATTTATGTATTATCTATGGCTGCTTCTGGGCTACAATGGCAGAGTTCTGAGGAAAAAAGCTATACAGCCTACAAAGCCTAAAGTATTTAGTATCTGGCCCTTTAGAGAAAAATTTTACTGACATTTACTTTACACTACACTATCCCTTAACGTTCAATTCCTGTATCTTCATCCAGAAGTAAAATCCCCCAAAATATCAACTGTTTCCTCATTCTTACCCTGCTGTTCCTCAAAAGCTGCCCAAAGCATATGCACCACAGGTTTCTTTGGGAGATGAATAGTGCAAGCTCTGCTGAAGACATGCCTCACTCCTTCAATGCTATGGTTTTCCATGTACTTGGCATACTACATATAGAACAGAGGAAATACTGAATAATTTACAGTTGAACCAGCCATTAAATATGTGACAGAACGATAAAATTCTATTTTTAAACCCATTCAGCACCTTTATTGAACCACTAGACTAGTTTCTGTAAGGAAGGACGAAGAGAGGCAACGAGGTTGGCATATGCAGCAGTCAAATCTGGTTGCAAGCAGACCATCTCCTAATGCAACAGATATAGTTATATGAACAACATTCAACAGAAGTACAAAAAAGGTTAGTCACTAGTCAATGTTTATAATATATTCAAGTTTCAGAGCATGTAATTTTCTTACCTTAATCCAAAACTCCTCATAGAGGGCACATGATATGACACATCTTTCAAAGAGAACCACAACTCGTTCATGAGTCCCATTTTCAATTTCAAATTCTAAGTATTCTTTCCAGTTTTTTAATTGTGCCTTTTCCAATGGTTTCACATGAAAATAAGGTCTTTTAATCTGCAATAAAGTGACATGGCAATTAAAGTAAACCAACACCAAAATATGTATGACTACAGTAACAATGTTATTTAAATTATAAATATAATTGCAAATATACCAAAAATTTTAATATTTCATGATTTTAAAAAAATACAAAAACATTTTACTCATGTTTTTAAATTAATTTTTTTAAATTAAAAGTCCTTAAATTCCTTAGGCTTTACAAACAGAAGAAACAGACTGTATTTTCCATTTTTTTAGTTATTTTAACAGAACTACACAATTTTTTTATATTTAGGAAATCTTATTCTTTGATTACTTTTAAATTTAACAATTACTCCTTCGGAACAGAAAGAAAATCAGTGGTTGCCTGGCCTAGGAGTGGGATGGGGGTTACTACTGCCTGGAAAGCGGCCAAGGGGATCTTTGGGATGACAGAAGAGTTCTATATCCTGATTTTGTGGTGACTGTAATGCACAGACATTCAACAAAAATCATTTTACTAGCCAGTCACAAAAAAACATACAGTTGGCCCTCCACATCCAAGGATTTAACCAACCACGGATCGAAAGTATTATTTAAAAAAAAAAAAAATCCTAGAAAGTTCCAAAAAGGAAAACTTGAATTTGCCATACTCCAAGCACTATGCCGAATCCACGTGAATAAAGTGATGTGTAGGCATACCCTGCTGTATCCTATATGCAAACACTGCGCCACTTTATATAAGAAACTTAAGCATCCAAGGATTTGGATACCCACAGGGGTCCTGGAACCAATCCTCTGAGGATATGGATACTGTACTATATGATTTCATTCATACAAAAAGCCAGAACAGGAAAATCTATAAGAACAGAAAGTAGATTAGTAGTACTTTAGGGCTGGGGCTGAGGTTGGGAGGTGTCAAGTGAGCAAATGAATAGAGGGGTGAGAGCTAAGGGTAAAAAGGGTTTCTTTTTGAGGTGAAGAAAATGTTCTAAAATTAACTGTAGTGCCTTGGTTCGTGTGGCTCAGTTGGTTGGAGCATCATCCCATACACAGAAAGGGTCATGTTCGGGAGGCAACCAATCGATATTTCTCTCTCACATTGATGTCTGTCTGTCTCTCAAATGAATTTTCAAAAATTTTAAAAACTGACTGTAGTGAGTTATAGTTTTCTTTGAATATATTATGAACTATTACAGTATATACTTTAAATGGATGAACTATATAATATGGGAATTATTAATAAAGCTGTTAAAAAACAGAAATAAAAAATTAGATTGTGAAAAAAAACCTCATTTCATTTTACACCTAAAATGGGTGTATTCTGTTACATGTGAAATATAACTCAGAGTGTTGTCCTGTACACTGAAAGGTCACAGATTTGATTCCCCGTCAGGGAACATACCCAGGTTGCAGGTTCAATCCCTGGTTGGGGTTCATATGGGAGGAAACTGATTCATGTTTCTCTCTCTTTTCTCTTTGTCTCTCTCTTCCTCTCCATAGAAAATCAATAAAAACATCCTCGGGTGAGGATTGAAAAAAAATTGAACAATTCTCAAAAGTATGATTCAGATTAAAGAAATGTAAGTCTGAATTTAATAAGTTTCTAAAATTGATAATGGAAAATGATAAAATTGATGATAGCAACAAATGGGAAGAACGCCTTGTTATTAAGCAAATATAAAGAAAAAGTAGCAGTATAGACATTATTTGAAACTGAAAAATACATTATTCCTATTGCTATATTTTCAAGACAATTACAAAACAAAAACACTTACACCTTCTTCAAATGTCCACCTTTTACTAACTTCATGCTCATTATAATTAAACATTTCTTGATGAATTTCAATGATTCTGTGCCTCATGTTTTCTATTTCAGTAATTAGCTTGGGAAGAAAAAGAAAAAAATTTAAAATTACACAAGTTACATAATGAAATTTTAAAATATCACTACTTACATTTAGTATTATCCACACATACTTTAGTCTTAGAATACTGTTGGGTTTTAAACTGTTACTCCATTTTGTGCAAGTACAATGAACACTACTAAAATTTGTAACAGAATTTCCTAACAAACCACCTTCCTATTATGTTTTTTAAATAGACTAGAGGCCCAGTGCACGAAAGGGGGGTCACTCAGCCCGGCCTGCAGCCTGTGGGATGGGGCCTAAACCGGCAGTTGGACATCCCTCTCTCAATCCAAGACCATTGGCTCCTAACCACTCTACCTGCCTGCCTGATCACCCCTAACTGCCTCTGCTTGCCAGTCTGGTCGCCCCCTAACTGCCCCCCTGCCGGCCTGGTCGCCCCCTAACTGTCCAGAAGAAAGTCGGATGTCCGGAAGATGTCCAGTCGACCCAGTCTAATTAGCATATTACCCTTTTATTAGTATAGATGGCTAGTACATCACAATGTAAGCAAGATATTCCTTCTAAGCTATTTCCAGATGTCTCATAGTAAACCATACCAGCTAAAGAATTCCAGTTGTCTTAATCAGAAATTAACTTCATATGAGCTACAAGTCATACAACACACACAGTTAAGGGATATTAAAGTTTACTTTCTCATGCTTGAAGGGTTTTTAAGTCTAATTACCTTTGCTGGATCAGTTATGTCTTCAATTCCTGATGGCAGATCATCACCAGGAGGACCATCATCACCACTGTGTCCATTTACAGAAGCTAATTCCCTTCGCAGCTGAATAAACTGTTCACCAGTTAGAAGATCTCTAGGCAAGTTATTCTGTACATGCTCTTTAAATCTAAAGACAGACAACAAAAATATATGCTGTTAATTCCTATCACACATTACTCTTTCAAAGGACCTCTGACTTAAAGAAACCAAAACACAAAACCCTTTCTTCTTCCTATAGTAAAAACCTACTATTTGATAAAACAGTCTATAAACATCTTCATTTTCTCCCTGCCTTTGCAATGGAACAGAGAAGGCAAGGACAGGCATAAATTCAAATCCTGGTTCTGTCCATTGTCATTTGCTTGACTTAAGGAAAGTTTTTCCCGTCTCTAAATCTTGGTTTTCTCATTTGTAAAATGGCACAATACCTATCTTGCAAAGTTACTGTAAAATTAAATATAGTTATGCATAAATTATAAATGACCATTAATAAATGACCAACAAATGTTTGTCTTTCCTTTCCCACCTGCCAATTATTCCTGAATCCAGATGTTTGTATCAAACACTCCAATAAAACTGCTCTAAAGTCATGAAGAATTTCTTACATGCAAAATTAAATGGATACGTTTCATACCTTGAACCTAATGATGTCTTCATTACTTAAGGTTGATAACCACACCTTCCTTTTAGAACCTTCTTCACCTTGACTCTTTGGCTTTCCTCCAAGTCTCTGACTGCCCTTTGAGGGTTCCCCCTTACTATCTGCCCCTAAGTACTACATATTCCCAAGGATTCCACTCTGCATTTTCTTCTATTTTTATATATTTCTCTGGCTGATCTTAGGAATATTTTAAATATATTTCTCTGGCCAATATTGTTTGAAATGATAAGCATACTATGACTCAAAACTGTAACTCAAGCCCAAACCTTTCTTCTAAATTCCACATTACTATATCCAATTGCCAACACTCTACACATAGAAATATAGATTAATTATAAGCAAAGAGTGTTTTGAAAAAAGCTTTATTTCATTTTATTCCCTTACACACATACAAATTTTAATAAAAAACATCCATTTGAGGAGCTAAATATCTACACTATCTCATTTTGGAAACTTATATACAAAAAATGTCTTAAACTAAGTGTGTCATCTTCATCCAAAAATCAACATGCTTGGGATTTCTAATCTTGATTAAAGGTAATGCCAACAAATCAGTTCCCCATTCGGAATTTCCCACCTAACTTAATAATTAGATTCCACTGAATATCAGGTCTTAATGATTCTACCTTCTAAATATATCTTCATACCTTGCTCACTTTTCATCTAGATCAGCGGTTCTCAACCTGTTGGTCGAGACTCCTTTGGGGGTGGAACGACCCTTTCACAGAGGTCGCATAAGACCATCGGAAAACACATATATAATTATATATTGTTTTTGTGATTAATCACTATGCTTTAATTATGTTCAATTTGTAACAATGAAATTGGGGGTCACCACAACATGAGGAACTGTAGTAAAGGGTGGTGGCATTAGGAAGGTTGAGAACCACTGATCTAGATAAACATAAACTGGTCTTCTAGCCCTAGTCTCACAATTCTCATACCCAAACCAATACTACTATCAAAATCGTTATCAAAAAGTAAAAATGAATTCTGGCTAGATAGCTCAGTTGGTTAGAGCACTGTCCCCATATGCCAAGTTTCGGGTTCGATTCCCAGTCAAGTCACATAAAAACAACAACCAATGAATGTATAAGTAAGTGCAACAGCAAATTGATATTTCTCTCTCCCTTCTCTTTCTCTCAAACAAAACAGTAAACATGATCGTAAGCCCCTCCTGCCAAAATCATTTCAGTAGGTTTATCCTGTTGTCAAGCTAAAAATCTAACCCCTTAGATAAAGTCTTTCAGATTCTTATCTAGCCTTTGACCCAAGCCTACCTCTTCAATGTTATTATTAAACATGGTTTTCCATGTGGTTGTACATCATGTATCACATATTCCAACATTATTCCCCAAGTTTCTAAAAATTGATTTAGGCTATTGGCACCTGGATTTTTAAACTTTCACAAATGTATGTAAATGACACTGAAACTAATTTACATTATGCAAAGTCAATAGATACAAAGCTCAATTTGACCCCGTTCAACAATGGAAGGAAAAAATGTAGAGTGTCTTATTTTTATTATATATTTACCTTTTAATTGATTTTAGAGAAAGGGAGAGAGAAAGAGAGAGAGACATCGATGTGAGAAACATTGACCAGCTGGCTGCCTCCTGTACGAACCCCATCAAACCTGCAACCAGGGAATTTGCCCTGACCTCCTCACATCAATGTTTCTCTTTCTCACTCCTCTCCCTCTAAACTCAATAAAAACATATCCTCAGGTCAGGATTAAAGAAAAAGAGAAGAATGGCTGAGTGTTTAATATACAGTGAGCCCTATGCCTGGGTTGCTGGCTCAATCCTCAGTAGCGGGTGTACAGGTAGGGGGTGTACAGGAGGCAGCTGATCGTTAATTCTCTCTCATCATTGATGTTTCTACCTATCTCTCCCTCTCCCTTCCTCTCTGAAATAAATAAAAATATTATTTTTTAAAAATCATTAGGAAAAAATATCCTCGGGTGAGGATTAACAATCTATACTAATAATAGAGGAGTATGCAAGTTGTCCGGGGATGCCATCACAGTAACAGTACCAACCAGCAGGCTGCATGGGGCGACCAGGTCAGCGGGTGTGTGTGGCTGGGCGGGGGGGGGGGGGGGGTCAGTAAGGAGCGACCAGGCCGCGGGGAGGGGGGGCAGTTAGGGGCGATCAGGTCAGCAGGCAGAGGTGGTTAGGGGTGATCAGGCTGGTGGGGGGGTGGGGGGGGCAGGTAAGGGCGATCAGGCAAGCAGGCAGGTGAGCAGTTAGGAGCCAGCGGTCCGGGATTGTGAGGATGTCTGACTGCCGGTTTAGGCCTGATCCTCGGGAGGGGTGCTTGTGCTAGACCCTTGGAGGTCAGGGACTGCCATTACTGTGAGGGAAAAACAGATCTCACCCCCAAGCAGCAGAGGCAGTACAGCCCTACTGAAGCCGAAGAGGCTCAAAACTGTGAGGCCACAGAGGAAACTGTGAGGCCACAGAGGAAAAAAAAGAAATCTTGCAATTCAGCGCCATCTACTGGAGCAGAGTAGAAAGACCTCCTCAGAGATAAATGGGAAAACAAAGGAGAACAACGAACGCTATGCACAACAACAACAACAACGATGACCAGAAAGAAAATGAAAAATCCCCAGAAAACAGGCTAGAACACATGGAATTATGCGAGTTAAATGACAGAGATTTCAAGATTGCAGTTCTGAAAATGCTCAATGAGATGCGAGAAAATAAAAAAGCAACATAGTCATCATACTTTCTTGTCCAGAAAGACTTTCTGAGTCCATGTCAGTGGGATATTCTGAGTACACAGGAACATGGAATTAGTGGTTTTAACAGCTCTAATTAAAATGAAATGTTATCATAATGGAAAATCACAGTAGAAAACTGAAATGAAATCATTTTGTTTTTTGAATATATGCAGGGCTTACTACATAAAATACATACATTGCTATTTTGGGTCTAAGTTTTTACACGAATCACAAGGATATACTTTTAGTAAGTCATTAAGTTTTAAATAAGCATCTATTATGTGCCATGTACAGTGCTAGTTTAGTACAGCAGTGAATAATTACACTGAGATTCTATTTTCTCATTCTTTCATTAATCTGAAATACCTCAGACAAAAGATAGGAATCCTCTTGTTTCCTCATCTATAAAATGGATAAGGAGGACCTAAAGTCTAAAAACAGTAACATTCCTAAACATTTCATAAGATATATGGGAAAATATCTACATTTAAAAGTGTATAAAATGTGATTATTGTGAAAGAAAATATATTCCTAAATATTAGGAATTAATTACCTGAGTAATCAAAGATATTTTAACGATTTTTCCACCTACCTCTGAAAATGATGACTATACAGCTGTGTTGGAATACCAAGAATACGATCATATATAGCTGTAACTTCTCTCAGGTTTCCCTGTTCATTCTCCCAGTTTATATACATTTCCCATAGTCTGTCAGATCGGAAATCTGTTCCTGCAGCTAGAACAGCGTGTTCAAAAGTTCTGAAAAATTAAATTACCTTTAAATTATCTTTCTAAGATAAATGCACTTTCAAAATATTATGTCTATACTTTGCAACTCTGCAATATATACAAATATCAAATCATTATGTTGTACACCTCAAACTGATATACAGTAGTTTCCCCTTATCCACAGGGAATTAGATCAAAGACCCCCATTAAAACCACAAAGTACCAATCCCTAACTACAGTGTTTTTTTTTCTACACATACATACCTCTGATAAAAGTTTAATTTATACATTAGGCACAAAAATTAACTAATAAAAAATAGAACAATTATAATATATTGTAATAAAGTTATGTAAATGTGGTCTCTCAGCAAATTAGCACACATTTCTTTTTCCTTTTTCATAATTTCATGGATAGAAAATTTGCTCTTACCGTAGATTTTAGTGACCTCAGCATACGACATTTTCTTTCCTTATTAAGTCGACAACTTTCACCTTTTCACTTAAAGGAAGCACTTTACAGCTTTTCCTTGGCATACCTGAATCACCAGAATCACTACTCTTGTGCTTTGGGGCCAATATTTGGTAAAATAAGGGTTACTTGAACACAAGCACTGGATACTGTGACAGCAATCTGATAACCTAGACAGCTACTAAAGTACACAGTGTGGATACGATGGACAAAGGAATGATTCCCATCCTGGGCACACAAGACAGGAAGACACAAGATTTCATCACACTACTCAGAACGGCGCACCATTTAAAACTTATTAATTGTTTACTTCTGGAAATTTCCAATTAATATATTCAGACTGTAGTTGACTGCAGGAAACTGTGATAGTTGAAATCATGAATAAAAGGGCTACTACTACAACATATGTCAATAAAACTTCCATTTTAAAAAAATTTAAAAATCAAATAGATAATCGTAAATTCAAAATAATATTCCATTGCTTCCCATACAAATAGAGATTAAAAGATAGAAGGAATTGCCCAGCCGGTGTGGAGTTCAGTGGTTGAGCGTCAATCTATGAACCAGGAAGTCAGGCTTTGATTCCCAGTCAGAGCACAAGCCAAGGTTGCAGGCTCATCCTCAGTAGGGGGCATGCAGGAGGCAGCCAATAGATGATTCTCATCATTGATGTTTCTATCACTCTTTCCCTTCCTCTGAAATCAATAAAAACTTATTTAAAAAGAAAAAAAAAGATAAAAGTAATAATAAAGAAGTGTATGATAGCAGTTTTAAAAAAGTGAGAAAAGCCCAGCCAGTGTGGTTCAGTGGTTCAGCACTGACCTAGGAGGTCACTGTTTGATTCCCAGTCAGGCACGTGCCCGGGTTACAGGCTTGATCCCCAGTGAGGGGCATGTAGGAAGGAGGCAGCCAATTGATGATTCTTTCTCATCATTGATGTTCCTATCTCTTTCTCCCTCTCCCTTCCTCTCTGAAATAAAAAAAATAAAAGAAAACAAAGTGAGAAACATAAAGGAAATAGATAAATGTACTGTTATGTAATTTTACCTTACGTAAAATTACAATGCAAAACATACACACTGCAAACATATATTTATTTGTTAAACTTGAAATGCTTGTTGAATGGATTCATTTAGGGGAGAAGATAGACACAATTATTATTATTAATTTAAATAATAATTTTCTGGGAAAATAACTCCAACAAGGGATCCAGCTGCCTTATAAGGTAATGAGAAGTAAACATATATTTTAAAACTCTCAAAAATCTCTCCTGATTCTAAAATCCCACAATTATAGTTTATTACAAAAACATATATTTTAAGTACCTAATTCATGTCAAAAGATTTCTGCAAGCAATGTTAAATCATTAGATTTGAAATTCAAATGAGATAAAACCATTAGATACATATTTTCAATGTAAATATTTTAGAATCAAGAGGGATTTTTAACAGTATAAAACTATACTACCTAAATTAATCTATAACTTTAACAGAATCCCAATCAAAGCTCTAACAAATTTTGGGTGAAAAGGAAAAACAAATTCTAGCATTCATCTGGAATACAAAAATGTAAAATATTTTGTGTAAGGACAATGCAGCAGTTTTCCTGAAAGATACCAAAAGAAACTAGGAAGCCTAACTGGTTTGGCTCAGTGGATAGAGTGTCAGCCTGCGGACTGAAGGGTCCCGGGTTCGATTCCAGTCGGGGGCATGTGCCTTGGTTGCAGGCACATCCCCGGTGGGGGTTGTGCAGAAGGCAGCTGATTGATGTTTCTCTCTCATGATGTTTCTAACTCTCTATTCCTCTCCCTTCCTCTCTGTAAAAAAATCAATAAAATATATTAAAAAAAAAAAAAAAGAAACTAGGAAGCTATAGTAATTAAAAGTATGGTACTAGCTGGGAACAGAAAAATGGATCAACAGAACATATCAAAGTATATTTGAGAATGTAGTCTATGATAAAGGAGTATTTTTAGAATTAATGCAGAAAAGTTGGACTATTCAATAATTGAAAAAAATAAAGGGTTAATCTCTACTTCACAAAGGACACAAACTAAATCCCAGATGAATGATTTTTAAAAAACTATTTTAAAAATTAGAAGAAAATACAAATTTATATATTCTTGGCAAGATAGGCACAAAAGAAACTAATAAAAGATTGAATACTGAACATTAAGAAAAAAAAGCCTCTATATGATAAAGATACCCTAAACAAATTAAAAGCTGTACCAAAACTGCAGGAAATATGTTTAATATATATACAGATAAAGGATTAAAAGTGTGTGTGTATGGGTACATGCATACATGTATATATATATTTGTGTATGAAGTTTCTGAGACAGTGAAATACATGTTATTGCTCCTGCAGAAACCCAAAATGATCCAGTAAATCAGCGGTTCTCAACCTGTGGGTCGTTACCCCTTTGGGGGTCGAACGACCCTTTCACAGAGGTCGCATAAGACCATCGGAAAACACATATATAATTACATACTGTTTTTGTGATTAATCACTATGCTTTAATTATGTTCAATTTATAACAATGAAATTGGGGGTCACCACAACATGAGGAACTGTATTAAAGGGCGGCGGCATTAGGAAGGTTGAGAACCACTGCAGTAAATCAATGCATCAGACACTAAGAAAGTGGAGGGAGTTGGGAGAGGAAAATGATAAAAAGGTAACAAAATAAAGACAGAATGTTTAGGTCTGATTAATAAATGGTAAGAGACCTTAAATCTCGTTTCCTGCCCAGCTATGAGAATTCAGAAACTAGGTATATTTTCCCTGGAAGTTCAGGTTATCCTTTAATGAAAAAAACTGCTTGACATAGGAACAATATAAAGATACCGCCCTGGCCAGTGGGTTCAGTGGTTAGAGCATTAGCTCTGCCTGCACCAAAGGGTCACGGGTTTGATTCCCATCAAGGGCACATACCTGGGTTGAAGGTTCAATCCCCAACCCAGGTCAGGTCAGGTGCGGGAAGCAACCAATTGATGTGTCTCTCACACTGATGTGTTTTTTTCTTTTCTTCTTCTCTCTCTCCCCCTCCCTCCATTCCTCCCACTCTGTAAAAGTCAATGGAAAAAATATGCTCAAGTGAAGATTAACCACAAGAAGATATAAAGATACTAACACTAGGAGTCCAACAAAAACTGGGTGGCCACTTGATCATTTTACTGTGAAGCCCTCCAGGCCAGCTAAAATTGGATCCCCAATACAAAATACACAGAGCTTCTATTCAATTTATTAAAATCTAATCTTTAACATAAGCAGAAATCCAGAAATCAGACATGACAGAGATTAAAAAAAAAACTTCAGAGGAAACAGTGCTAGGAACAGACTCCAACTATCCTTAATACCCTCAAATAAATGATAAAAAAATATGCAGAAATATAACAATAGGAAGATATGAGAAAAGGAACAAAGAGGGTGTTGAAGTGGCTGATCGATGTTTCTTTCTCATGGATGTTTCCATCTCTCTATCCCTCTCCCTTCTCTCTCTCAAATAAAAAAAAAACCCACATATTTTTCAAATAAATAAAAGCTTCCATGAGGTCCAGCCGGTATCGCTCAGTGGTGGAGCATTGACCCATGAACCAGGAGGTCACAGTTTGATTCACTGTCAGGGTATATGCCCGGTTTGTGGGCTCAATCCCCAGTAGGGGGCGTGCAGGAGGCAGTTAATCAATGTTCTCTTACTGGTGTTTCTATCTCTATCCCTCTCCCCGTCTCTATAAAAAGTCAACAAAAACATATTTTTTTAAAAAAAAAGCTTCTTTGAGGAAAAACATGTCATATAAATATCAGAAGAATGGTATCATACTTATCAATACCAACATCAGAAGCTATAAATGATTCAAGAGATGCCTTCAAAGCCCTAAGGAAAAATTACTTTCAACTCTATACCCGACTGGAACATTAATTTGGGTGTTTCAGACATAAAAGTCTTAATTTCTTTTTTTTAAATCCCAAGCATCCTTCATCAAGTAATAGGATGCTTTTCTATAAAACGTGGGCACATAAACCAAGAAAGAATAGGATCTAATAAACTTTTTTTTAAATATATTTTTACTAGAGGCCCAGTGCACAGATTTGTGCACCAGTGGGGTCCCTCAGCCTGGTCTGTCCCCTCTCGCAATCTAAAACCCCTTGGAGAATGTCGGATAGCCAGATAGGAGGGAGCCCGATGCCCGCAGGCCCAATCCAGACAGGAGGGAGCCTGATCCTGTACATTGTCTGTCCCCTGGTGGTCAGTGCGTGTCATAGCGACCGATCATTCAGTTGCTTAGGCTTATATATATAGAGAGAGAGAGATTGATTTCAGAGAGCAAGGGAGAGGGGGAGAGAGATAGAAACATCAATGATGAGAGAGAATCAGTGATCGGCTGCCTCCTGCATGCCCCCCACTGGGGATTGAGCCCACAACCCAGGCATGTGCCCTTGACCAGAATCTAACCCAGAACCCTTCAGTCCCCAGGCTTACACTCTATCCACTAAGCAAAACCAGTTAAGGCTCTAATAAACTCTTAATAGAGCCAGAAACCCAGGAATGAGGTAAAGACATATTCTAGAATCAGGATGATAAAGAAATCCCAAAATAATATCTGTATAACAGAAACAGAATAGAACAAGCAGTCCAGATTACAGAAGAGAAGGTCCCAGGAGGGATAGCTCCAAGAGGGAAGGGGAAAAAATGGAATTTACAGACTTCAGAGTGTAATTCTCTTTTACAATTTTTATACTAAGTAGAATATTTTTAACTCCCAAAAATAACTTACAAAGCATTTGTATATTATGTAAAGTAGTATTTAGTACTACTGAAAGTAGCTGTTTGAAGTGGTGAAAGTTTTTAAATGTGCAAAGAAAACCAGGAAAGTTGAATAATGGGGAGGAAGCAATAATTAAATCCAGGAAAAACAAAAGGCTATGAAATCTATCCATTTGGAAAGATGAAGAATGAAAAAATAATATAGAAGTGAACTAAAATTTTTAGTTACCATTACAAAATTATGTCCTCAGCAAATGAAGAAAACACTACTATATCACACATGTTAAAAAATACCAGAAGCGCCCTAACCGGTTTGGCTCAGTGGATAGAGCGTCGGCCTGGTGACTAAAGGGTCCCAGGTTCGATTCCGGTCAAGGGCATGTACCTTGGTTGCGGGCACATTCCCAGTGGGGGATGTGCAGGAGGCAGCTGATCGATGTTTCTCTCTCATTTGATGTTTCCAACTCTCTATCCCTCTACCTTCCTCTCTGTAAAAAAATCAATAAAATATATTAAAAACATATATATACCAGAAGAAACAGCTAAAATATCTGAAGAGGGGTGGAAAGACTGCTTTTTGTTACAAGCAGTTTAATACTGATTTTTTAAACATTTATAAGTTCCTATAATTAATAAGAAAAACATAATCCAAAAGTAAAAGGAGTAAGTGATATGACGAGGCAATGTGAAAATGGCTTATCTATAATAATAAAATCGACCAAACGACCGAACAGCAGAATGACCGTCCAGACGACCTTCCGGATGACCACGCTATGACACCCACTGGCGCCAGGCCAGCCAAGGTGGGTGCGATGCGATTGGTCGGGGGCCCGGCCATCGCCCCATGATCACCCTGCAGAGGGAGGCCCAGGCCACCGGGCTGGCAAGGTGATCGATCAATCAGGGGACTCCACAATCACCCCAAAGAGGGAGGCCCAGGCCACCAACTGGAGGCCTGGTGGGCAGGGCCTCCCTCTGTGGGGCGCGATAGATCGCCCCAAGAGGGAGGTCCAGGCTACCCCACTGTGGTGCTGCGGCGGGTGGGCCGGGCCTCCCTCTTTGGGATGATTCATCGAGGAGCGCAGACTGGGTGGGCGGGGCCTACCTCTTTGGGGCGATTGATCGCAGGGCTTCCAGAATGAGAGGGCATAGGCTGGGCTGAGGGGACGGACACACACACACACACACACACACACACAGCGCATAAATTTCGTGCACCAGGCCTCTAGTATAAGGATATGAAAGACGGCAAACCAGGATAAACACTCTGGAGATATGTAAACTAAAATAATGTGATACCACCTAAGGATAAAGAAAAATGTGGTCTGCTATGGGAAAATGACTACTCTCATACACTGTGGGAGTTTAAAATATCACTTCTAAAGAAACATTTGATAGAATTTAGCTGTGTGTTCCCTTTGACAGAATTCCATTTCCAGCATGCTCTACATAAATACTGACTTGTAGAGACATTCACTGAAGCACTGGTTATTTCCTATGCATAAGAATTTGGTCAAATAAAATATAACACCTAGATACTGTAAAATACTTTGCAGTGGTTAGAAAAGTATGGTAGAGATTCCAAAATATTCTGTTAAAAAAAAATCAAAGGATAATATGAACAAACATGTATAGCTGTGTGTATCTGAAAGAACACACACCAAGCCATTAACCACAAGGGGAGTGGAATTGGGAACATAAGAAAAAGGAGGTATAAAACGGAGGGGGAGCCCAGCTGGCATGGCCATGGTTGAGCATCTATGAACCAGAAGGTCACAGTTCAATTCCCAGTAGGAACACATTTCCAGGCTGTGAGCTCGATCCCCAGTAGGTGATATACAGGAGGCAGCCGATCAGTGGTGCTCTCTCATCATTGATGTTTCTGTTTCTCTCTCCCTCCCTCTCCTTTCCTCTCTGAAATCAATAAAAATATACTATAAATAAATAAGTAAATGAAAGGGGAATTTATTATGTTTTTTTATATAATCATGCATACATTTATTACATGTATTCTTTTTAAGTAGAGAAATTATATGGAATTTAAACTTTCAGTTTAGCATTCACAAATAGTTCCATTATCAATATAAGAATAACTGATTTATAACTTATATCTTTGAACACATGTGATTAACAGAGTTTCACATACCCTCTTATTGTACTGTTTGTCTCAGAATCCCCAGGATCCAATGTTTCTTTTAAGAAGTTTATATAATGTATCCAAAGGTCAACACTAAGAGGTATTGCCTGAAGCCCCCGTCGATACACCTAAGAAAAAAACAACAAAACTGTACTTCAAATATTTAATTATTTCTTAACAGAGAGGTAACACTGTGTTATCCGGTGAACCTTAGAAATACTAATTACTGGAATTTTGTTTAAATAATCTACCATTACCATTTGGGTGGAGGTTGGATAGAACATGGCAATGTTCTGATCCCCACGTGCAGAGTCTTGATCTTCAAAGCGCAGCAGTCCCTGCATTCTGACCGGGTTGTGTGGGCAGGCTTTGGGTTACAGACCATAGGGCACAGACCCATTAGAGCACCAATGACAGCGTCTGACCAAAAATGCAATAAGACGTAGCAAATGTGACTAGCAAACCAACTATATTGTTTGGAAAATGAGAAATAAATGTAAGTGAGAGAAAAGCCCTGCCCTACTTGTTAAGCTGCAGTGTAATACAGAGGCTTGCACTGCAAAGCTTGACAAACTGTAGAGGTTTAACGCACCTGCCAACAAAGAGAGAAAATATTAGCTACAAATGCCACAAGAGTGACAAATGCAAATAAAATACCCTATAAAATTGTTTGACCACAAATCGTAGGTACTGCCAGCCAAAGAAAAAAAAAGTCTTTGTTATTTGGCTTACAGTACCTAATGGAAATTATTTTATTCAGTGATGTACGCACCTCGTCTGATTGTTTAATGTTGTCATGCCGCTTTTCAAGGTCTGCATACTTTTTCCAGTAACCATAGCAATACGGATAGTGTATGAAAAATTTGTCAAATGCTTTCCTGGCAGCCATCAAGTGATTCTGATGAAAATAAAATGAGGTGTTTAAATATCTTGGAAGTTTCTGACACAAAAATATTTATTATTCCTTTCAAATGTATTATCTCAAATAAAAGAAATGGCAGGTTTAAAGACCACACACACACCCCGCAGTCCTTTTCCCTATGAATGCAATCTTATCCTTTGAAACAGAGAAACTAATTCTGTTAAACTACAAGGTAACCATTTATTCACAGATTTTATACAGATACACACATGCACAGCACTTACTACAAACATTATACTTTGACTCTACTAAAACTAACTTTTCACTACACACCAATGCAATTTTTTGAAGTTAAAAAAGTGTAAATACCCAATGTGATGCAACTTAATCTGAAAAGTATAAAAAAGCAACTTTAATTACAAAACAATAAGGCCCAGTCTAATAATGACTTGATTAATCTGTTCCTTTAGTCCCATTTAAAAGTTACTAACCTCCTGTTCTACATACTGAAGCAAATATACCCAGCCTGTAAAATCCTGAGGATTATTTTCTACAGTTTTCCAAAACTTTTCATATTCTGGAGGGAAATTTGCTTCTGTTTCTGCCACTGGAAGGTCCACAGCATTTGCTATTTCATTTTCATCTGTAGTTGCATTCACATTAGGAGATCCATCAGGTGACTGTTCCATTTCCGTGACATTCATAATTTCAGTACTGAAATCAGCAGACTGTTCTACCACTACCTCAGAACTGTTGCCTGTGCTGCCATTACTAGAATTTCTGTACTCATCCATGTGAGAATTTTGCATAGCTGTTTGTCTTCAGTTAATGATCTGTAGAAACAAAAATAAAGAAAAACATCTTCCAAATGTTTATTTAGCATCATCAAAACCACCCTTTTTTAAAAATGATTTTTAGAGAGGAAGAAAGAGAGAGCAACATCAATGTGAGAGCAAAACATCAATCAGCAGCCTCCTGCACGCCCTTACCGGGGATCAAACCTGCAACAGAGCATTTGCCCTGACCAGGAATTGAACCAGCAACCTTTCAGTGCATGGGATGACACCCAACCAGCTGAGAAGCACCAGTAAGGGCAAAACCACCTTTTTATAAAACACAAGCTCTCATTAATTAAAGAAATATAATAATTTGATTCTTGATATCTCTTATAACTCTTAATTAGGTTTATTAGTTTCTATATTATAAATGAAATTCTGTAACATAAATTTTCCAAAAATCTATTTTATTGTTGGGTGTTTAAATAAACACTAAATAACTAAGGACTTAGTTCCTTCACCCATAAAGCAAGTGAGGTTTGTGCCTGCTCCCTAAAGAAGCAATCATATCTGAATTCAATGTTTCTTAGCTAGCTAAAATTATAAAATTCAATGTCTGGATACCATCTTGCTATTAACCCTGGAAAACAGCAATGTCTTTAATATCTGTTCTGAAGGCTAAAGGGAAAATAACAAAAATTCTGATCATGGCCCTAGCCAGTTTGGCTCACTGGATAGAGCATCGGCCTGGGGACTGAAGAGTCCCGGGTTCGATTCCGGTCAAGGGCATTACCTTGGTTGCAGCCACATCCCCAGTAGGGGGTGTGCAGGAGGCAGCTGATCGATGCTTCTCTCTCATCTATATTCCTAACTCTCTATCCCTCTCCCTTCCTCTCTGTAAAAAATCAATAATATATATTTTTTTTAAAAATTCTGATCATGGATATAAACGTTTTAGAGGGAAATTCATCACTTAGCTCAGGATAAAGTTTTAGAAAAGAAAAGGTTACATTGTTGAAATATATTAATACATTTACAATAAAATTTAAATCCTAGCACCTAGGTTTGATTTTATTTTAGAAAATATAAATGAAGGTATTAAAAAATTATAAGAGCCCTGGCCAGAGTAGCTAAGTTGGTTTGGCATCGTTTGTGCACCAAAAGGTTACTGATTCGATTCCTGGTCAGGGCATATGCCCAAGTTATGGGCTCAATCCCCAGTAGGGGGTGTGCATGAGGCAGCAGATTCATGTTCCACTCTCAAATAGATGTTTCTCTCTACCTCTTCCTTCTTCTCTCTCTAACCATCAATTTTATATATATATATATATATATATATATATATATATATATATATATATTTTTTTTTTAATTACAAGAGTGTCTTCTAAAGTGAATGTTATTAAAAACATGTTTGTGCAAGTTCTATCATCTGGATAGTAATTATATAAAATTGTTCAAATTAAGTCATCTCATTGTTAAGGCCACCCTGTATAATGGGTTGCAGTCAAAATATTTGAAAAACATTGCTACACTATTACTATGATAAATTAATAATACTAGAATATTAAATTCCGTGAGAACAGAGACCTTGGTTTTGTTTATACCTTTAACTTTTCATTTAGTTATGACATATACTTTTGACTAACATTATACTTTATACATTATATTTTTGACTAACAATTCTACCTACCAACGTAAAATTTGGAGGATGACTTAAATAATCCACACATAATTAAAGATGGGAAGTTTGCCCTGACTGGGTGGCTTGGAGTGTAGTACATACACCAAAAAGGTTGCAGGTTCGATCCCCAGTCGGGGCACATATGAGAGGAAACTGACTGATGTTTCTTTACTTCTCTCTCTCTCCCTTAAAAAAAAAAAATCAATAAATGATGTATCCTCAGGTGAGGGAAAAAAAGGCAATTGTTAATTTTAAAAATACAGTAAGTTTGATCGAACACCTTTTTTTAAACTCTATATTTATGCCTATAGAGGTTAAGTGATTATTCTTTTCATAAACAGAGCAACACATAAAAATCTGAAGATGTTACTAAGGACTGAAAGTCAGAAGTTTGAGCAAAACAAATAAACTAACTTTGCAATCTACAAGTTACTCTGTGCTTCATCTGCAGATAAGCTAATTTTAAGGCTCAGGATGTTAGGAAAAGATACTATCATACAAACTGGTTTTTAACAACTGTTTTCAGAGACTACTTAGTCACAGATTATGTTCCACAGATTAAGTTCCAGAAATTGGAACAAACACACACACACACACACATCTGTATCACTCAGGTGTTGTTTTTTAATCCTCATCTGAGGATATGTTTTTTTCTTTGATTTTAGAGAGAGGAAGGAAGAGGGAGAGAGAAACATTGATATCTCCCTAATGCACCCTGACCAGGGATCAAATCCAAAACCCAGGTATGTGCCCTAACTGGGAATTGAACCCTTGACCTTTCCGTGTGTACCCATGATGCTCCAACCAACTGAGCCACACTAGCCAGGGCAATCACTCAGGTTTTTTAGGGGAAAACAATCATCATTTGGCTAGAACTACCACTTTCTCCTTTGGCTATTTAAAAAAAAAAATACTGTTTAATGCAGAATTGTTAACATACCACAGGAGGTTCTGTTCTTTTGCTTGAAAAACACAAACACAGGTTTTATCATTTGATTTATAAAATTCTTTTTCTTATTCAAATATAAGTAAAAACAGTAGCACACAGTGACACTAAAAAATTTCTGCTTTTCAATTAGCCATCTTTGGTCAACCTCTATTTTAGAGTTCGCAATCTAAGAAACAAGTCTTCAGTAGAATTCCTTTTGTTCACCTTTTCCCCATCAAAGACTGTAGAGTGGAAAGTTCCAACTTTTGCAACCCGAGTGTAGTTATAAATACGGGGGGCGGGGGGGAATACCCCACAGTAGTTGCTTTTTTTTTCAAGCCACTTAAGCTCCTATGGAGCCCAAAACACCCAAGTCCCAAAGTGAGCTCCATATTCATAATTCCATGATAAAGCTTGCTTCCTTAAGTTTCAACCTTCCTTGTAGAAAAGTTTAAAGTATTCCTAAACAGATTGGATCAGTTGCCAAATAACTTGAAGTCCTCAAAGAGGAGGTACCGTGAATATCAAACTAAAAAGTAACAATCTCTGCCCTGACCGGTTTGGCTCAGTGGATAGAGCGTCGGCCTGCAGACTCAAGGGTCCCAGGCTCGATTCCGGTCAAGGGCATGTACCTTGGTTGCGGGCACATCCTCAATGGGAGGTGTGCAGGAGGCAGCTGATCGATGTTTCTCTCTCATCGATGTTTCTAACTCTCTATCTCTCTCCCTTCCTCTCTGTAATAAATCAATAAAATATATATTTTTTTAAAAAAGTAACAATCTCATGACATAAAATGATCATCCTCAATCACACGTTAAAAGCAGCACTACTTAAGTTAAGCAAGACATCATTCTTAAACAGATTTTTTCAAAAGATCCTAATGTCGCCCTGGCCGGTTCGGCTCGGTGGATAGAGCCTGGCCTGGGGACTGAAGGGTCCGGTTGGATTCTGGTCAAGGACACATGCGCGGGTTGGGGGCTCGATCCCCAGTAGGGAGCGTGCAAGAGGCAGCTGATCAATGATTCTCACTCATCATTGATGTTTCTATCTCTCCCTCTCCCTTCCTCTCTGAAATCAATAAAAATATTTTTTAGAAAAGAACTTTAACGTCTAGTTTTTCTGCTTCTATTCTATCCTGCCAAAAGCTTCCACTTAATTTTGAGGTGCTGTGACTCAGGGCCCCAAAAATTTAGCTTATGCCGTCAGAATACGGAACGCGTCCTACAAGCCGCCTAAATTAAGCTTTATTAACAGAATTTGTATTTTCCCAATGTTCTGGGGTCTGCTACGGAGCCCTTCCAGTTCCAGTCGTCCCAGCCACACTGGTTTCCAGCTCTTGGGAAAGCAAGGGCTCCGGGCTTACCCCCAAATCGCTTCCTCAATCACGTGGAGGCCCACATTTCCAGGCCCGTCTGAGAAACGTTTAGTCTAAGAAAAGAAACCTCGCACTGCTCCACCCAACAGGTGGGGAGGCCAGAGGACTGGACAGCTGGGCTCCCAGGCCGGGCCAGGCCGCAACACGGCGGGAGGGAGGCCCGGCCCGGCCCGGCGCGGCCTGAAAGCAGGCAGGCCCCCGCCAGCCCAGCCTCCCGCCCCCTCCGCCAATTCCCAGGCGCCCACCACAGCTGACCTGACGGTGGAGGCGACTCAATGCCATGAGCCGCAGACTGGGCGACGATGGCACTTCCACGTCTCCGGGCCCACAGCCGCCGCTGCACCGCCACCAGCGCCACAACACCTTCCCCGGAGAGAGCGCGCCGCGCATGCGCCGAGTGGTTGGGACGCGAGGGAGTCACGTGACCGCGCGGCGTGCGTCCCGGCTTCGCTCCGGATCCTAGAGCCCCGCCCCGCCCGCCCCGCCCCCGGGCTCCAGAGGCTGACGCAGCTGCTCATCCAGTTTCCTTCCTCAGTGAATTCTTCCCGAACTGTAAGGGTAGTTAGGTCCTTCCACACCCCTGATCTTAAACACAGCCAGCGCTCAGCCCTGCCCTTGCCCCCCAAAGAAAGAAATTGTTTTTCTTTTTGGGCAAACCTAATGTTTCCCAACAACTGTTCAGGTTTTACCCCTCTACCTAAAAATGGACAGAAATTAAGACTTAAAACCCCTGTGGCCCCGCCAGTGTGCCTCAGTAGTTGAGCCTCGACCCATGAACCAAAAGGTCCCCGGTTCAATTCCCAGTCAGGGTACATG